TCTTTTACAGCGATGCTATTTAGTGAAGGACTTAGCGATTAATGACAGTCATACACATGTATCAACACTGTAAATTTGCATGTTATAAATGTAAATGCTATCAGGAGTAAGTGTTGTTTGTGCACTTCTGATAACATTCGTAATATAATAATAAATCAACGCAATAAGATGAATAACAACATCAACTGATTTATGGCAATGATATTGTTAATATCATATATATATATATATAGATTATATATATATAATATTATATACTATATATATATATATAATATATACATATCATTTTATACATATATGTATACATACACATAGGCCTATACACACGATAACATGTATGTATTATATGTATGCATCCTGATACAAGTTTATGTCGGCATTTTGCTTCAGCAGCCAGCAGGAACATGTTTATGAGAAAATACACGATCGTTCGACGTGGCATCAGCATGCAGACACGGAGCTGAGATCGCTTCTCGGCATTTTGCTCAGCGTGCGTCATTACAGGGCGAGCACGAGTAATTTAACAAGGGGGCAGCGACGAGTCATTACAGATCGGAAAGCAGAAGTCGATTACAATGGGGCCAGCCACGAGTCATTACAGAGGCAGCACGGAGTCATTACAGGGGCAGCAGAGTTATTACAGGGGCAGCAACGATGTATATACAGGGAGCACTGGTAGTTACAAATCTCTACGAGTAAACGGGTTCTCCCAGGTTGAAATTGAACAGGGGGAGGGGTAGGGGAGGGAGAGAAACTAGAGGGGGTCTCGGGCTTGCTAGAATCAATGGCAGCAAGAACAAGTTCCGCACCTGCAGCGTACAACACAGCAACGCATCTTTGACGTATAATTAAAAACATTATTAATAGTATAATATAACACTATCAACTAACTATACTTACTATCACAACTATAAGCTTACTAAACAACTATAGCTACTATAACTACTATAGCAACTATAGCTACACTATAACTAACTATAGCGTACTATAACAACTATAGCTACTATAAAAATATAGCTACTAGAACAACTATAGCTAACTATAACAGACTATAGCTAGCTAGAACAACTATAGTACATATAAAACTATAACCTACTATAACAACTATATATAACGTTCGTTATAATATGTCAATAGATGCGTGTAGTTGCGTGTGTTGCTGTAGTAGTGCAGGTGGCGACTTGTTCTTGCTGACAGTGGGTCCGAATGGAGAATCTGGCACCCAGGTGCGCCCTACAAGGGGGTGCGGGGGGGGGGGGGTGTGGGGCAGTAGCAGCAGCGTCCTCCAAATGCCTGACTCACTTAGCTCTGTTCCTCATGTAGGCGATTCGGCCAATCGGGGCGAAAATAATTTAAACGTGGCGCAACGGATTGAAACCGGGGGGGGGGTTTCCCCAAATCGGGGCGCGTGCGCGCTGGTTTGCGCAAGGTAGAGAGAAGCCGGGTAATAGTTTTACCAATAAGCCACATCATTTTGAAAAATGTTCGCCTTGCCCGCCGTCATACCAACCAACAGCGCTCTCAAAGTTTCCATAATCAAAGATATGCACACACAATAACACGTGCTTCGCCTCCATTCTAACGGAACCACAGCTACTTATACAGCCCTAAAGGTTCCTCGTAATCTAAAAAAAAAAATTATATTTCTCGGCCAGATTAAAAATATCGACCGCTTCTTGTTGTGTGCTACGTTGCGCTAGGATCTTACGGCGGGAGTTAGTCTGGACGGACACAATGCACGAACGTGGCTATGTGATCCAGTCCGTCATCGAAACAGTCAACTGCGGCACGACGCTCCGTGAGCTCGTCGTCACGACTGAAGCTGCGACGCCCGTCTCCATCGCCTTCACCTGCGTGGTATACGTGTGTCCGATCCGGTCGCTCTGATCTGTCCGTCCGTCGGTGTGTCGCGTGCCGTCGCTCTTGACGTAAGCTAAGTTTGTCATGACTGGAGCTCGAGGCGTCTCGCCGTCGCGCTTCACCGGTGCGATTGGTACGATAGTGGTCCGTCCGATCGCTCTGTCTGTCGCGGTCCGTCTGTTGTTCGTCTGTCCGTCCGGTCTAGATATTAATATATAAACGTCACTCTATATATATCTGTGCGTCCGTCAGTCTGTCAGTCCTTCAGTCGGTCTGTCAGTCCATCACTCTGTCTGTCTGTCGCCCTGCCTGTCTGTCGCTCTGTTCGTCCATCGCTCTGTTAATCCGTTGGTCTGTCTATCCGTCGCTCTGGCCATCAGTTGGTCTGTCTGTCCGTCGTTCTGGCCATCAGTCAGTCAGTCTGTCTGTATGTCGCGAGTTGTCAGTCAGACAAGCGACTCGAATCCTGTTAACTTTTGCGACCTCTGTTCACCCTATGACCTCTATGACCTTTGTGACCTTGTTGCAGTAAGCACGGCTGTGGAACACGTTGTGAGTCAGATCCTGTGCCTCGCGCTCGATGACATCACCGACCATCCGACGAACAACTATGTTCTCAAGGTTCACGGCTGCGCGGAGTTCCTTGCAAGGTTCGTAGATGAGTAGCGACAACAGTGTGTTCGTTCTACTCGCCGCGCAGTTGTTGTGCTGCAGGGGTTTCGTTCCCGTGAGATGGCACCGCTGTGTAAATGAACGTTGATGGAAGCGAATTTAATTAAAAATTAAAAATTAAGCGATTAATCGGTCTCATGTTAATTCTCGCTGCGTGCGTGACCTTCTGAAATTATCGTAGTTGAGATGATGTGCTTAGGCCCCTCTACGAGTGTGTGTGTGGGGGGGGGGAAGGGATGTCAGTGGTCCCCTTGTGGATAGCTTGCTTGACTTTGGGCTCAAAGGTCTGGGTGCTCGAGTGCGTCCATAGTCATTAACCGGCTTTAGGCTTTTTTTTATCTCGCCGGCGTAAGGCTAACAACATTGCCCGTGTAACGGCGAGTAGCTTGTTTGGACGGAGCCTGTTATGGAAACCTACGCAACACTTCTACAGAGGCGTGATGCCTATTATCTTATGATGTAATTTGAAGAATCACGAGATTTTAGCGACCAGAAAGTTGACGTAACTGACTCGACTGCTCGTAGCTTATCAACGATGTGAGTGTTGTGAGGTTGAGATTTAGGACCTAAACTGGCAGTAATCGAATTCTTGGGACATTCACCAGCCGTAATTAGTATTAATCCTCCTTAATTAGTATTAATACTCTGTATTTAGTATTAATGCTCTGTATTTAGTATTAATACTCTGTATTTAGTATTAATACTCTGTATTTAGTATTAATCCCTTTAAATTCGTATTAATACTCTGTATTTAGTGTTAATCCTCTTGAATTAGTATTAATACTCCGTGTTTAGTATTAATACTCTGTATTTAGTGTTAATCCTCTTGAATTAGTATTAATACTCTGTGTTTAGTGTTAATCCTCTTAAATTAGTATTAATCCTCTTTAATTAGTATTAATACTCTGTATTTAGTATTAATCCCCTTAAATTAGTATTAATACTCTGTATTTAGTATTAATTCTGTTAAATTAGTATTAATACTCTGTATTTAGTGTTAATCTTTTGTATTTAGTATCAATCGTCTGTATTTAGTGTTAATCTTTTGTATTTAGTATTAATCGTCTGTATTTAGTGTTAATCTTTTGTATTTAGTATTAATCCATTGTTTTTAGTATTAATCTTTTGTATTTAGTATTAATCGTCTGTATTTTGTATCAATTGACAGTTAGTTAGTATTAATTCTCCGTAACTTGGTGGTAATCGTGCGTGCGTTCGTCCGTCTCTCCCCTGTGTCAGTCACTCAGTGTTAGCAGACTACGAATACGTTCAGGTGTGCAGTTAGTATTGCTGCCAGGGTCTATGTCTCCCTGGGTACTGCCGGAACGTACCCTGGTAACTATCTAATATGCCGGACCGTACCTCGCCTACTCCACTAACGAGTCTAGGGAGTCACCTACGCCTACTCCCTAACCATATCCCTAACCATATCAGATAGTTACCAGTGTACGTTCCGGTATACCGGACCGTACCCAGGGTACGTTCCGGCAGTACCCTGGGGGACATAGACCCTCTCAGCGTTAGTGACTATTAATTCTCTTGGTGATAATCGTGCGTGTGTTTGTCCGTCTCTCCCTCCTGCGGCAGTGACTCGGTGAGCTGGCAGACTACGAACAACGTAGCATCTTAACAATCGTAATTTTGGGACATTATTTGACCATTAGTTAGTATTAATTCTCCGTAACTTGGTGATAATTGTTCGTTTGTCCGTCTCTCCCCTCTCTCCCTCCCGCGGCAGTGACTCGGTGCTGGCAGACTACGAGTACGTTCAGGTGTGCAGGAAGTTCGACCGCGACGTCTGCTTCACGCTGTTCCACATCAACCACCTGACGCGGCCGCTCGAACGCACGGTGAGTCTCACACGTTGCCACGGCAACGCTCGAACTCACGGTGAGTTTCACACGTCCCCACGGCAACGCTAGAACACACTGTGAGTCACACGTCCCCACGGCAACTCTCGAACGCACGGTGAGTCACACGTCCCCACGGCAACGCTCGAACGCACGGTGAGTCTCACACGTTGCCACGGCAACGCTCAAACGCACGGTGAGTCTCACACGTCGCCACGGCAACGCTTGCATTGGCAGAGGCTGCCGCGTGTCACCTTGGCAACGCTCGAATACACGGTGAGTCTCACACGTTGCCACGGCAACGCTCGAACTCACGGTGAGTTTCACACGTCGCCCCGGCAACGCTTTAACGCACGGTGAGTCTCACACGTCGCCACAGCAATGCTCAAACGCACGGTAAGTTTCACACGTCGCCCCGGCAACGCTTTAACGCACGGTGAGTCTCACACGTCGCCACAGCAACGCTCGGACGCACGCTGAGTCTCACACGTCGCCACGGCAACGCTTGCATTGGCAGAGTCTGTCGCGTGTCACCTTGCCAACGCTTGAACGCACGGTGAGTCTCACGCATTGCCACGACAACGCTCAAAGGCCTGACTGATGTCGCGTGTCACCATGGCAACACTCGAAGGCACGGCAGATGTCGCACTGCACACGTCGTATTCTGAGGTTTACCTCGTCCCATTAAATGACAGGAACGCGACCAGTGTACGGAAGACTCCCGTAACATCTGAGCATATTTACTGTGCGCGTTCGCCCCGTAACATCTGAGCATAAATCTTTACTGTCGCGTTGCGAGAATTCCCGTATAAATTCTGAGCACATAATGTACGCGTTTGACCCATATTCTGAGCATCTTACGTACACTTCACCGTACCATAATATTCTGAGCTTCTTTAATGTGCGCAGTTGCCGTAAAATCTGGTAGCATATTTACTGTGCGGCGTTCGCAGCGTGAGGGTCCGCAACATCTCAGCATCCTCTCCTCCTTGAACATCTGTACATTCTTCTCCTGCCTGCAACACTTGACGCATTCCTTCCTTCCCTGCAAGTTGACCATACCTTCCATCTGCAACCATCTGACCATCCTCTCTTCCTGTAACACTTACCATTAATTTCACCTTCTGCACATAATGACCATCTTCTCCTCAACCTTGACCATGGACTTGCCTGCAACATTGACACCTTCTCCCTGCAACATCTACCATTCTTCCCTCCGGTGCAAACTGACCAATTCTCCCATCGCTGCAACATTCTGAGCATTCTTCCCTCCTGCAACATTGACCATCCTTACCCCTCCTGCAACACTGACCATCTTCACCCTCATCAACATCTGACCATTACCTTCTCTCAACATCTTGAACATTCTCTCCTCCTGCAAAATCTGACCATCCTTCCCTCCGCAACACTTGACCCTCTCCCATCCTTCAACGCTACCATCGCTCCCCTCCTGGCACACTTGACCATCTTACCCTCTGCAACACTTAGCGCATTCTTCGCTCCTGCAACACTGACATCCTTGCTCTCCTGCAACATTGACCATCCTTCATGCTCCTCAATCTCCCTGACCATCCTCGCAACCCCCCCCACGATGTCTTTTCGATCGACAGTCACCTACATCGTCTTTCTTCCCAGTCGCCACGCAAGCTAGGCGGGAGAAGTGAGCACGCCTGTCGTGGTGAGCCGCGAGCGGCCCCGCGGGGCCGCACTGCGTTTTCCCGGACCTCGTCACGAAGGAAGCATCACAATCTGCTGCTGAGACCTTCGAGAAGGAAGCTTGAGAAGCTACAAGGCTCAGATCTTCCAAGGGGTAGGGAGGAAGGCAGATAGGCGAGGCTAGAAGGTGAAGAGATAAGTTAGATCTTTGAGTAATGGAGGAAGAGGGAAAAAGGCATAGGATAGGGGAATGGAGGCAGGGAGAAGGAGAAAAGCACAAGCCAGATCCTCAAGTAATGACGATTCACATACAAGAGAAAGGGAAATGGGGTGCTTAAGCTCCGGGAATTGCTAAAGGCCAAGAAAACCGAGCAGAAGAAAAATTTCAATTTGCCTTGAACGTCTGATAAAAAAAACACTTACCCGACGACGGATGGCACCGTGATGTTGAGCGACCCGGGATGTGTGGTGAGACGGTCCTTCTTTGCGTGTGCTTGACAGGTGTTCGATAGGATTAACACTACCGTCTGGAAGCAGTGGCCTGTCAAGGCGATCTGTACCATGATGCATCGCTAGAGACGAACGATTATCACAGCGCACTGCAGGTGAGGGCGATCACCGATTATGATTGATTATCATTTATAATGATTATTGATCGATTAGTAGTCATGGTATTGATTGATTAGTGTCTATTAATTGATGGATTATTATTCATTATTTGACTGTTGAATGTTGATTTTATTAATTTATATGATCATGATAAATTCGTGATGAGTTCATTATGAATTTTGATTTATTATGAATTGATTTTGTTTTTTTCCAATTCCTATTATGCCGTTCTTTATTGTCTTTATAGATTATTTATATTATTGACATTGTGATTGATATATAGTATACGCTAGTGTCCTTTCTCTAAAGCCATTATCACAATGTTCAGTACGAGCATGTGGTAATTGGCTTTTCCTCGATGCCAAGCAGTCACAACTCAGCACAGTGAAATCCGCGCGTGTTGACCACGGGCGCCGTGTTTGTGTTTCAGGAACTGAACGGAGCGGCTGCGGGACTGAGCGACGCGGCGGCTGACAACGAGCCATGTCAACTTCACCGCGTCAACGTCTCGGAACAGGTAGCGGTGACGCCACGGACTCGACACCTACCGCGGGGCTGTTCACTCGTGCGTTTGCCGTCGCACCCCTGGCTAGCCGGCGCAGTAAACGTTAACCTATAGTGAAGTTCACTGATGGATTTTCGTATTGTGCGCTGTTAGGCTTAAATACGTTTCTTTAAATAAACTGAAACGTAATGATACTGTTATAATTAACTTCCGTGACTTTTGCGTACGCACTTTTATCGTACCGATGCAGTTGGGATGTCCTCTTTTTATAATGTGTCATGGGTGCAGCAAGAGCAGAACTGTACGCCATGCCAGTACTGTGTTCTGCCGTATTGTAGCAGTAAGAGGATGCTGGAATAGGTCAGGGTAGTGACGGAGTACCATACTCTAGCAATGTTAGAATACTATCACTGCTGCTGCTGTGCTCCCGCGCTGATG